GATATTTCATTAAATAACGAATATACTATGTTTACATTTGTAATTGCAGTGGTTTATACTACAGGGAAGCGGGATGGGCAGCACCTAGTGTTCTCCAATCAATTATTGAAGATATTAAAATTTAATATACTTATTACAATCGCATATATGAACATGCGTTGCACGTTAATAATAAAACGCGATGGTTTAAACATTTAAATTATCTAAAAGCCGAAAAATATTATCATATTAAAATAATACGTGAATTCAAAATAAAAGGACATTATCAGAACTTCGACAGTTGAACAATTTAGTCATATTAGATAATTACGTATTATAATTTAAAAGTATTTGATGTGATGGTATCTTACTGAACACTTCTTTGTAGATGATATTTTTTTGTATATGTTTTCTTCTAATGTTTTGGTTGCTCTGTCATAACCAGAACTCTTGTTGTCGATATTGATATCCCTTTTGAAAGTACAACATATAGTTGTCCGTTCAAGAAAATATATTGCGAAAAAAAATAGTCCAATATTTAGGATCTTTGTCTTTATGCTTTATTTAATATAATTGCAAAATACAAATATATCATACAAATTTAAAAGGACATTCTTTAGTTTCGGAAGACGAAAGTTGAATATGGGGATACAAATATACTTAAAAGTACATTGACCAGTATCATTATTTTTGCATATATGATGTTATTCTCAAAACTTCTACTCCCTCCGTTCCAATGTATGTAAACCTATTTCCTATTTGGTCCGTTTAAAAAAGAATGACCCTTTTCTAAATTTGAAAATAATTTAGCTTAAACTTTTAATTCTAGCCTTAATGAGAAACTTTTACAGTCACACAAATACTTTGGACCCCTTTTTGATTTATTTAGGATCACAAATTCTAAAAATTTTAATTTTTTTTAAATTCCATGTTCAATCAAACAAGTTCACAAATACCAAATATGTGCTATTACATAAGCTATTCGAACAAACTGGGCGTTAGTTATTACTACACTTACATTTTCACCTGACTCTTCTTTCGTGTGAACGCAGACTATCGTTGTCATGACTCATCGTGCATTCGTGCCTCATCTTTTAGTAAAGCTATTTTGGATGATCAAAGATGTGTTTGGACTTAGTACTTTTGTAAATACAGGATAAGGATTAACGAAGATATTTTATATTAAATAATGAATAGATTTAGAGGCGGATCTAGGATTTAAACTCTATGAGTTCAATTTTTAATGTCTTTAGTATTGAACTCATAGTATATATTTAAAGTTATGAGTTCATATCCACTATTTTTCGTAATTTTAATAGATTTTTACATATAAATTTATGTTTCGCGTTGAAAGTATTGGATTCAATTGAACCCGGTACTCGCTTGCTGCATCCGCCCCGAATAGACTATGTTTACATTTGTAATTGTAGTGGATGTAGTATAAAAAATTATTTATTTTATTGTAGTATTAAAATAAGTGCATAACTATTGCCACATATACATGTGGTGTAGATCCATCTTTGATTACAAAAAAGAGTTGTTTCAATTATCAATAAAATAAAAGTTGTTCGGTAATTAGCGAACTTTCTCTTCCTTTTATATTCTTACTCATGGTGTAAACTCTCGCTTTACGTTTTTGTCTCTTAGTACACCGCAACCAACTTTAAATTCAACAGTGAAGTATCAAATTATATTCGAAAAACTCACGTGTTCATAACATTTTCTTTTACATTTTATTGCAATATATGGTCGTTTTTGGAGCTATTCATAAATTATTTTGGAGTTTGGAAATGCCAGTATTCATGCAAAACGTCAGTCAGTACGTGTAAACTCTCCCTTCCATTTTCACGTTACAAATTTTGGAGTATCAAGGCCAATTTACCTAATTTGTTTTGTGCAAATTGGAACAGAATTCTTCACAATTTTTGGAAATAAATTATTTATTGAAAGATTACATAAAAGCACTACAAATTACCGTTATTAATAATTCAAAATAACATTATAATGATTGAAAAATTCCGCTTTGACTTTTCAAATAGTAATAGTGTCAGATAAAATATAATACAATAGATGAAATGTTTAGTATAGCTTACTCAATCTATTGCATAACATGCGGGTTCAGAAGAGCATCAAATATGCACGGATTTTTTTTACTTTTAGCCCGCACCAATTTATATTTGATAGCTGAAAAAGTGTATAGAATATAATAATTTTTGTATATAACATATAAAATGTATATATATATACAAAATATATATATATATATATATATATATATNCATTAAATTTTTGCATTCGAACCCTTTTAAGTTTAAACTTCCGAAGTTCTTTCTTAAGAGTAGTGGAGTAGTAGGACAAATAAATATGGATAAGATCTGGGTAGGGTCCAAAAGTAAGATTTTGCAATTTGCAGAGGAACCCACAATCTTTTTTTATCGTCAAAAGAGGCCCACACTATAATTCGTAAAGGAAAGCTCCACTTATTATCTCCCTTTATTTACTTTCGGGCAATTTTTGCTGCATACGTATCTCCAACTTCCACCACCCACATGGGGATTAGATTTTAGGATTCCAAATGTAACTTACAACTCTATTGTTAAATCATGCGGGTGGTTAATATTCGGGATGGGCATAGTGGGATTTTAGCATAACTTCTGACAAGACAATGAAATAGCTCATCTCTTGGCAAAGCATGCGACTAACCTTATTGTTTCTTATAAAAGGTGTCTTTTGCCTATTCCTCCACCCAATGTCATGGCCAGGATTTTGTCGGACAAGGTAGGAAATATTTATGTTAAAACTATCTCTATTAATGCCTCTTAGCCATGTAGTTAAAGTTGGTAATCAGCATGCAATGCATGGATTATCATCCTATTGTAGTGATCCCTAGGATCATAACTACTGTATACTTTAACTTTTATTAAATAAAATTGTCCAGTTTATCAACAATAAAAGAAATCCACAACCCGATTTAACACATTGGAAGTGACATGGCTGTTATGCAAGATTTGAAATATCATAAGAAATCGATAAATATTCCATTTAAACTATTTTATATTTTAAACATTATTTAATTTTATGTAAGTATCACGAAAGACGCCAAAATAATATTTTTAACAAAAAAGTCACTCAATATTGTCTAAATATCATAGTATAAAGTCAGTGAGAGGAAACAAATGAGATATTTTATGTAATACTTAGACAAAATTGTGTGAATATTATAATTTTTTTATGACTTCATTGTACTTAGATGAAGTAGAGTGACTTTTTTTTTGTTGCATGAATAATTTAGTAATTTGATATGTAAAATAAAAGTTGAGTGGCCATTCTTAAATTTATTGCAAGGTCAGAAAACTACAAGTTTACCACAATATAGTTTGCTTCCGCCTGCTTGCCCCCTCACCCAAACACCAATATAAAGTCGACGGATCCCAACTCAAAAAATTATATCAATGTGGCCAAGAGGGCAATTTATGTATATGGACTGAATATCTGTGAAGGAAATTAGAAAGAAGAATGATGTATGAAATTTTCTATGTAATTCAGCTTGATTATTCTCTGTACAGATCGTTCCTTTATACAAATAGAAAAGAATTTATGTATAACCACCTATACAACTGTCCCTATACTATTGGTAAAAGAATAGCAAACTATGAGATCAAGACAAAAATAAAAAATCCCTATTTACAATCAAATACATAAAGAATCTTCTATTAGTAATCATAAAGACCAAGCAAATGTCTGGGCCCAAGTACTCACCAAGAGCAACTCACCAAGAGCAGTCCACTTCATCATAGGTCCAGTAACAAATGCCCAATTTAGAGCATTGTATCTTTGTTCAGACATAACCTGGTCTGAAGAAGCATTCCAACATTAACCTTTCTTTGAACTTTTGTAACTCATGGGAGGAGATTTTTCTCCGGCAACACCCCATGCAAGTTGGACACCGGTGATCGGACACCCAACTTGTACAAAAAGGAACGATGAAGAGGCCCAGCAAGTGCCTTAGTGAACAGATCCGCCAGCTGAGAAGAAGAGGGAACAAAAGACAATGAAATTAATCCATCAAGAAGCTTTTCATGAACAAAATGACAATCAAGCTCTATGTGCTTGGTTCGTTCGTGAAAGACAGGATTTTATGCGATATGAATCGCTGCCTGATTATCACAGTGAAACGACACTGGCAAAGATGGTGAAATGGTTAGATCTTGGAGAAGGCGAACAATCCAAGTAATCTCTGCAACAAGGCGGCACATCGATCTATACTCTGCCTCTGCCGAAGAAAGAGCAACAACAAGTTGTTTTTTAGATTTCCAGGATATTGGGGATCCGCCTAGACTTAAGAAAAAACCATTAACGGATCGCCGAGTATCAGAACATGCGGCCCAATCGGAATCACAATAAGCCAAAATCTGATAAGAAGAGTCAGGACTCATAAATAATTCAAGACCATGATCTCTGCTTAAATATCTTAAAGTGTGAAAAGCAGCGTCCAAATGTCCAAAACATGGAGATTGCATGTATTGACTAAGGGTCTGAATGGTAAATGAGAGGTCAGGGCGTGTATTGGTTAAAAATTCAATTTCCCCAAGAGTCATATGTAGATAAGAGGATCCGGAAGTGGAGTTCCACATGTACCAAAAAGTTTGAGAATCAGGTTCAAAGGTGTAGAGACAGGACGTGAATCAAGGCAATTGAACTCCGAAAGAAGCTCCAAAGCAAATTTTTGTTGGGTAATCATCAAACCTCCATTCTCTGTAATCAACTCCATGCCCAAAAAATAGTGTGCTTCTCCTAAGTACTTAATTCGAAATTCAGAGTCTAAAAAAGATTTGATCTCACTGATCTCTTGCTTGTGATTCCCAGTAATAAGAATGTCATCAACGTACACAGCAAGTATAGTAACCAGATTCCCCGTGATTTTGAAGAAAAGGGAGTAGTCGTTGAGAGAACAAAGGAGTCCTCTTGTAGCCAAAGCTGAAGATAAAGGAGCATACCATTGGCGAGATGCCTGTTTGAGCCCGTACAAGGATTTGCGTAGTCGACATACGTGAGAGGTATAAGGAGGGCTCATACCAGGAGGGAACCACATATAAACTTCTTCATCAAGATCGCCGTGAAGAAACGCATTATTGACATCAAGCTGGTACAATGTCCAACCTTTCTTTATTGCAACAGAAAGAATATATCTTATAGTTGTCATTTTTACTACGGGAGAAAATGTCTTTGTATAGTCAATCCCTTCCTTTTGAATATCCCCTCATATTACCAATCTAGCTTTCAATCATTCTAAAGATCCATCTGACTTTAATTTCACTTTGTAAACCCATTTGTAGGGCAGGGCCTTCCTCCTAGCGGACAACTCAACCACATCCCAGGTTCGATTGGAAACAAGAGCCTCAAAGCCATTGCAGCTCTCCAGCCAGGATGCATTATGACTTGTTGGTAAGAGGTAGGTTAATTGATTTAGCAAATAGAGTTAATTAGTGTTTGGTTCTTTGAGGTTATTGCTGAGAAAGAAGAACAATGTAAAGGGAGTAAAGAGGGGTTAGGAGAAAAAACTGAATAAGCAGTAGAACATATATAATCAGATAAATAGGTTGGATGATTGTGTTCCCTTTGAGATCTGCGCAGCAAAGGCTCTTGTTCTGGTGATAACACTGCAAGAGACTCACTAGTACCAGGAGATGTGTGAAATGTACCTGAAATATCAGTAGATGTAGGAGAAAAAGAAGGAGAATAAACATAGGGACTAAGAGGTTCTGGAGAATAAACATAGGGACTAAGAGGTTCTGGTAAAGATGATGAAGTTGTATGCTTAGGTGTTGGTGGGTGTGACTCATCTGCAGGAGAAAAAGTGGCAGGAAACAATTTAGACATTGGAGTGGAGTAGGAGAAAAGAAAGATGTCCTCGATAAACTTGATGTACCTAGAGATAACAATTTGATTAGATTGTAGAGTGAGAACCTTATACCCCTTCTTTCCAAATGGATATCCCAAAAGAATTCCTGGAACAGGTCTAGGACTCAGCTTATCTCTGTTTCTAGCAAGTGTTGATACAAAGCAAAGACATCCAAAAGGCTTAAGATGCTCATAGTCAAGGTTAGAACCAAATAGAACCTCATAAGGTGATTTGTGATGCAAAACTTTAGAGGAAAATCTGTTAATCAAATGGGTTGCAGTAAGTAGGCATTCTCTCCAGTACCTTTTAGGTGCATGAGACTGAAATAATAGAGCCCTACATGTTTCTAATATGTGTCTATGTTTGCGCTCGACCACACCATTTTGTTGTGGTGTAGCGACGCATGAAGTTTGGTGAATTATCCCTTGGGAATGAAAATATTCAGTGGTGAGGTTTCCTGATCTCAACTCAAAAGTATTGTCTGACCTGGTCACCTTAACTCTAGTGGAAAACTGTCGCTCAACAAGAGAAATAAAGGATTTTAGAGTAGGGAAGGTATTTGATTTAGTACAAAGTAGGAAAGTCCAAGTGCTTCTTGAGAAGTCATCAATAATAGTTAAAAAATATCTTTCTCCTTTATAAGTTGGAGTTTTATAGGGTCCCCAAGTATCTATATGAATTAAGTCAAAACAATTCTTTGAAGTAGTGAAACTCTTGGGAAAACATGGCTTAGATTGCCTTGCCATGGGGCAGATCTCATAAGGAAAATCAATTTTATCATTGAGTGTTATTGGTAAACCTTTGATATTTTTCATAGCATGAAATGGTAAATGCCCTAATCTCTTATGCCAAAGAAGTGTAGAATCAGAAGCAGAATAAGCTGAAATATTTTGATTAATATTAGCACAAGATTTCTTTGTACAATCTTGACTCAATAGACTTAGGGAAGAATCCCTTTGACAAACTGACTTCGAACAAGAAATAGAATTAGACAAACTAGACCTAGACTCATGACTGGAATTAAAAAAGGCTGGAAACAGTGGTTTCTGGGAAATGAGATCCATTTGGGCAGTGTTATCTCTTATCACATAGAGCCCTGCTGCAGCTTCACCAAGAACTTGTTCCCTCTTCAAAAAAGGGGCATGTATGGAACAATCAGATTTAGAAAAAATTAGCTTGCGATCAAATTATGTACAAAGCTAAGAAACTGATAAGAGATTGTGTTTAAATGCATAGACAAGAAGCACATTGTACAACTCAAAATCTGGAGTGAGATAGAGGCTTCCCACATAGAAAACTTTTACCTTATATAAGTTGGATAGACTGACTAAAACAGGACATGCTAACTCTAAAACATTATGTAACATGGATCTTTCAAAAGTCATGTGCTGTGAAGCACCGAAATCAATAATCCAAGTAAGGTGGGTTAATTTAGAATAAAAGGAAGTATAGACATGACAACCATAATGCATACCAGCCAGATTTACACTGGAAATGACCTCTGAATTGTTGGTTCCAGGTCCTCTTTGCATCGACTGGAACATCTGGATAAGCTGGTCACATTGCTCTTTGGTGAATCCCTCACTGCTGACAAGTGTTGACACAGAATTGGCTGCCACTCCATTGGTAATTTCCTGCTCAGTAGCTGCTGCATTAACCTGTTGATTCCCAAAGTTTCCCTTCCTTGGCTTATTAAACTTAAAGTGTGAAGGGTAGCCAATAAGTTTGTAGCAGTTTTCTTTAACATGCCCTGATTTTCTGCAGTATTTGCAATACTGATCTGATTTCTTAATTTCAAGGTTACCATAATTTGGTGTCTTGTATTCTGTTGTATTCCTTGGTGGATTCCATCTTTGCCCAGTGGTAAAAAAAGCAGAAGAATCAGAGGTAAGAACATTGTTAGAGTGTACCTCTCTTTGTGATTCCTCGTGTAAAATGATAGTGTATGCTTGAGCCGTAGTGGGCAGAGATTCATCATCAAAATATTTCCCCTCACACCAGTGTACATATTATTGAGTCCCATTAAAAACTATATTAATTTCTGATCTTCATTCATTTTAATATTATGAGTGTTAGCTCCACAATTGTACTCACAACTGCAGATCATAAAAGTATTGAGTAATTTCAGTTGATCCCAAATTCTCTTAAGCTTGGTGAAATAACATGCTACATCTGCAGTCCATTGACCTAATAGTATTAAGCTCTCTTTTCAGCTGAAAGAGCTTAGTTCCATTTGCTTGGCCATATCTCTGCTCGAGTTCATTCCAAAACTCTTTAGCAGTTTGAGAGGAGATCACACTTTCAGCAATATCTCTGCTAAGAGAATTCAGCAACCAGACAATCACTATGTCATTGGTTCTCTTCCACTGTGCCTGCTAGGGTGAATCTAGATCTGGACTTGGACATGATCTAGTGATAAATTCCAGCTTATTTTTTGTTGTGAGAGAGAGAGATCAGTACTCCTCTGCGCCAGTTACCATAACAGGAGCCATCGAAGGTTACATTAAGGAGGTTCATTCCGTGACTATCTGATGGAGATAGGAAATAAAGATGACATGAATCTATTTGCTGAGAAGGAGTGAGTGCAGATTTAGAGGTATCTGCTGACTGAGGAGTAACGAGATCAATCACAGCCTCTACCATGATTGTAGATGAAGTTGAAATAAGAAATTAAAAAAAAATGTAAAAGCTTTCAAAGATGCTCTGATACCATAAAGAAAATTAGAAAAAAGATTGATGTATGAAATTTTATGTGTATTCAGCTTGATTATTCTCTGTACAGATCGTTTCTTTATACAAATAGAAAAGAATCTATGTATAACCACATATACGATTGTCCCTATACTATTGGTAAAAGAATAACAAATTATGAGATAAAGACAAAAATAAGAAATCCCTATTTACAATCAAATACATAGAGAATCTTCTAGTAGTAATCATAAAGACCAAGTAAAGGTCTGGGCCCAAAAGTGAGTCCAAGTGCGTCTGGGCCCAAGTACTCCCCAAGAGCAATCTACTTCATCATAGGTCCAGTAACAAATGCCCAATTTAGAGCATTGTATCTTTGTTCAGACATAACCTCGATTGGTCCGAAGAAGCATTCCAACATTAACCTTTCTCTGAATTTTTGTAACTCATGGGAGGAGATTTTTCTCCGGCAACAATCTGAAAACACAAGTTGTGACACATAATTGTCTAATTATATTTATCTTAATGTAAAGACATTACTCAAATTAGTTTTGTGGTTCTTGGCTATGGAATATAAATTATACGATTTATCCATCAATTAGAAGTTGTTAGGCATTTGATATGGTGACGACCTTGGCTTTGTTGGAAACATTAGTCGAGAGAATGTGCTGTTCTCTCCTGATATAATACTAGACAACTTTTATCACTTGAGTTAGTTTCTTAGATTGAGTTGGTACTAAAATTTATTTTTCGTAATATGATATTGGAGTCATACTTTTTATGCTGGTTGAAGGAATAAACTGATATCTTTTTATTTGGACCATTCTCACCTTGTGAATTAAATTTTAAGATTGAGTGATATCCAAGATCCACGACAAAATCTAGGAAAATGTAAGATTGAGATTCGAAATCTCTTTGCGCTCAAGTTTGACAATTAGAATTTCTATCATCCAAAGGAAAAAAGAAAAAAATATATATATATATATATATATACACACACACACACACTCATGACATTACAAATTATGAGATTTTACCTTCCTATACTATATATGAAACTTTATTACCTCCTAATCAAGTTTTAACTTAATTACATGGCCATATACAATTTATCAATTATATACAAATTAGTTTTAAATGAATATCTCTTTATATTAGGAATTGAACAAGGAACTAGTTATTTCTCATTCTTGTTCTTTCTCTCATGCTCTCTCTCTCTTTCTCTCTCTCTCTCTCTCTCTCTCTCTCTCTCTCTCTCTCCACCATTGACAGCCATTAAAAAGCTTTGAAGCTTTGAATTCGAATTTGGGTTTTCAAAAACTATTATTTGTTTGGATTGGGTGTTGTTGCAAACAATTTATAATATTGTTTGAAGTTTTATATTTTAATTTCAAGGGTGTTTTGCGAAGATTAGACTTGATTTTGGTAGAATTTCATATTGAAACTCGAAGAAGAAGAAGAAGAACAGATGACATACAATATACTTACGAAATTGTATTAAATTTGAATTATAATTACATATAAATTGTATTTAAGTTGTATTCTATTGTAGTTGTATATTTCTTTTATTTGAATGTTGTATGAAAGTTAAAAAAATAGTTATATAATGTATGAATCGTTGAATGAAAAGTTATAAATACTATTTTTTTTACATAAAATTGTTGATATGTATCAAAATTGTATTAAGAGAGGAAATTTTGATTGAAATTTTAGAGAGGAAGAATAACACATCACATACAAAATATATACAAATCATATATAAAATACATATTGTATAAAATTTGTATGATAATTGTATTTAAGTTGTATGATGTTGTAGTTGTATTCGATTAGGTAAAAATAATGATGAAAGTTGTACATAAGTTATAAATAAGTTTTATACTATATAATTAATTATATAAAATTTATTTTTAGTTTATATATTGTTATAAATGTATCAAATATAAATATTTCGGCATTAAACTTTTTCAATATTTGATTGAAGATTTTTTATTATATTGGTGGGTGATGGAGGACTTCCAAAAATTAATATGATTTTCAAAAGTTTATTAATTATTCAGACAAGGTATACGTGAAACCCACGTATCATGAGTCTAGTTACTTAATAAATAACTTATAAATATTTTTGTAGGCCATCAAATACATATGTTAAACTCTAAAAAATGAAGGAAAGAAAAGAAAGCAAAAAGCACCTAGTTAATATTAGTTATGGAAAAAGACAAAATTATTTTATTAAAAGAAAAAAAAAACAAAATAGAAGAACACAACATAAATAGTAGTTTTCCTGCCCGTAAAATCTCAAGCAAACAATGACAATTAGTACTCTTCAAACATGGCCGTTGCCCCAAATTTCTACTACTTCTACTAACACTAGTCCCATTTTCCTCTGAAATTTATAACTAAAAAATACTATTTCTTTCTCAGTTTTATCCCACAAAAATCCTCTATGTATTTTTAAAGAAGTCTGAAATAGTTAGAAAAATAGAGTGATGGAGGGAAGTGGGGAAGTGGGTTTTGTAAGAGCAGATCGTATAGATCTGAAGAGCATAGATAAGCAAAAAGGAAAAAATGAGAGGAGAGGAGAGAAAAAAGGAAAATGGTGTAACTGAATCCTCTAATTTAAGGTACTAATAATGAATTGTATATAATTTGTAAATAATCTTTGTTTAGGGCAGATAATATACAAAACTAGGATAATTTTGGTAAATAAGTTTCAAATATTGTATAGGAAGGAAAAAATTCCCAAAATTATTGACTACGAGTCCTATGACCCAATAAATAAAGGAGGAAACAACCATCGATAGCCCCTCAAAATTTTAATAGCCATATTTTTTCCCATTGATACGAAATGTCCCTCCAGCCCAAACATATTATATCTAATAGCCCGAAATGTCTATTTTATATATATTTTGTATAGTGACAGCCTATTTTGTATATTTTTTATATCGTGACGGTCTATTTTGTATATATTTTGTATAGTGACAGTTTATTTTGTATATATTTATAATACACCAATATTCAAATTTATTTTCACTGAAAGAAATACATAAATATTCACGTAAATATATACTAACGGTAGAAACTAAGGAGAATAAGGCCTCATTTGTTTGTACTCAATGGAGGTCTGAATCTTAATCATTCAGATCTCAAACATTAAGTGCGTTCGTTTTTAAAGTCTGAATCTTAATTATTCAGATATTAATTATTACGTGCATTTTTTTACTTCACAACCACTTAATGGGTTTGAATAGGTCTGTATGAATAAGATCTATAACAAATACTTAATTTCATTAAGATGCTATCACATATTCATTATTAACTGCCGTCACCGCCTACCATTATCATCTACCACCATGCCACCACCACCACCATACTCCACCACCCCTACCACCCCTACCACCACCACCACCACGCCACCATCATCCTCAATCATAGACGTCACCATTATCGACCATCACCACCTACTATCCCACCACTCCGACCACCATCATCTCACCCACAATCAACACTCATTCACCTCATCTACCACAACTGATCCCCCCATCACCATCAACAACGACAACTGGTACTGTCCATCATTATAACCTACCACCACCCACTTACCACATTCCTCAGTAATAACTACTACCACCACCCGCCATTATTAACTATAATCATCCACCACCACCATCCTTAATCATAATCGCCACCACTACCAATCACTGCTAGCTACTAGCATGAACCACTACCATCAACCAAAACTACTACCAACCACTGCCTCTAGTCAGCATTCACCTATTAGCCATTACCACCAACAACTATCATATTTTAAAAAACTATATATTTAATTGATACAATATTAGATTAGTTAGTATTTTATTTGAATTTTATGTTTATTAATTTTTAAATAAAGATAAATTTTATACATTCAGATGTTCAAAATCAAACAGTCTTAATCATTTCTATTCGGATCTTAATACAAATCTTAATATATTCAGATGTGTATTCAGATTCAGATGTCTTAATGTCACGACCCCAAATGCCCACGGTCGTGATGACACCTATCACAGTACTAGGCAAGTCAACCAAATATTTACCAAAATGAAATCTTTTATAAAAATAATTTTCTAGTATCGAATAAGTCTCAAATTCGTCATATGAAATAGATGAGTAAAACAAAATATGCGAAAAAACCAGTACAGAACACCAACACAACCAATAATCCGGTGTCACTAGTCAAAAGCCTCTAAATACAACTCAAACTGACTGAATAATACATCATAAGTTTGAAATAGCAGAATACTAAAATAGGAAGGAGGAAAGTAGGGCTGCGAACACCGTGCAACTACCTTGCAGTCTCCGGTAAAGCTATGAGGGTGCTGGAAGCTCTCACTCTGCTGCTCGGGCACCTGGATCTACACACAAGGTGCAGGGAGTAACGTGAGTACGTCAACTCAGTAAGTAACTAAAGTAAATAAGGTCTGAGTGTAGTGACGAGCAATTTAAAACCATATAAGAGTTTTCAACAGAAATATCAAGTCAAAACCAAGCCATAGTCAGTTATCTCGTAAAAACTTCTGTTTCAATTAAAATACTTTGAAATTATTTATTCAATATTTTTCAACAGAGGCTCAGTATAAAAAGAAGAGTGAAAACAACAAAATATCATAAATGGGCCCCTCGAGCAAGGTATCACTCATAAGTATAGCCTCTCGGGCAAGCCTCTCAGTCACTTGTGACTCAGCTCTCGTCAAACAATACTCACACTCAGCACTCTGGCTCAATAATATCTCATAATAGTAATAATCATAATAACCGCTGTGGCGTGCAGCACGATCCATAGTTTATAGTCGACTATGCTCACTGGGGGTGTACAGACTCCGGAGGGGCTCCTACAGCCCAAGCATCATATCGATGCGGCGTGCAATCCGATCTATATATATATCGCTGTGACCTGCAGCCCGATCCGTAATAAATATATAATCCTCACCATTAGGTCCTAACCTCTCTTAGTCATTAACCTCACAGCCACTCGGGCATATAAGTGGAAATCAGGGAACTCAGCCCAAACAGTTTTCATATATTAAGAAGTAGAGTGATGAAACTGGATTTAAATAATAAACAGATAAAACATGACTGAGGATATGCTTTCAAAACAAAT